TTTATAGTTGTTACACACCTCGACACAGATTTTAATGATTTTAAACTAAAAGAAGATATATTCAGACTAGAAAAAAGAAAGAAATTTTTCACAATGAGGGTGGTAAAACACTGGGACGGGTTGCCCAGAGAGGTGGTAGATGCCCCATCCCTGGCAACATTCAAGGCCAGGTTGGACGGGGCTCTGAGGAACCTGCTCTAGTTGAAGATGTCCCTGCTCACTGCAGGGGGGTTGGACTAGATGACCTTAAAAGGTCCCTTCCAACCCAAACTATTCCGTGATTCTATGATTGTAGGTATCACGGGCGTTCTGTCAGTTATCCTAGCAGTTACTGACCTTACACTTTCCATTATGCATTATATTGTGCATATGACAGTTTGCCTTGCTCTGAGTCTTGAACTGCCTGCAACATAATCAGATTATTGAAAAAAGAAAAAATTATTAATTTTGGCACTTCATACTGATCCTATAAAATACATTTCAATTATGAAGGTTTGTAAGTCACTAATGGCCATAAACCATTTTTATTATATTAGTCATTTTGAGTTATTACTTATCCATTTTGTACTGCCTGCTACATTCTCCTGTATTATCTACTTACTCTCTACATACCTATGTGTGCATTATTTTAGTGAAAGCATTTGTTACCTGATTGTTTTTCACAGCTTCCTGTAAAAATATAAGAAACATAATTCTGCAGTCTCATGTGATAAAAATGGAGGGGCTATGTGGCATATCAATAAATCTTTTATAAGAGAAGTTTTCACATATATCTAAGGGAAAAAATATGTTTTTTGAAGACATGTTTTATGAATAAATTTGGAACACATGAGTAGACAATATAGTTAAATAGAATTTGTAACAATGTAGGTTATATATGCATTCAGGTTTTACTATTTTGCATGCATTTTCACTTTAATTACATAAGAATTAATTACGCATTTTTCTAGCCACTAATTCCAACAAATTATTGTGCATTACAGACACCATGTTAGCAGTAAGGATGAATATATTTGTATCCTTCTTTCCCAGGGCATCCTCAAGAAAACAAAAGCAAATGTAACCTGAATGTTGAGAGTAATAAGCATTCTTCAGCCTTACAATGATGTATCTATTTAACATCTTATTTATTTCTATGCCATCAAATGTTTTTTCTCTGCTGTCCGTAGAATTGCTATTTCCACTGTTTATTACTATGCAGTATGTTCATCAATTATCTTGCCTTATTTCATGAGTAATTAAATGTTCCTAGTTTGGCCAAAGAATAACAATACCAAAAAAATCTTAATTGGCTTCCTCTCAGCTATTCATGGCATGATCAGATAGCCCTCTCTCCAGCTGTTAATTGCACTAAACATTGATTGATAGGTTCAGCCAACACAATTATGGAAAATGATGCATATTTTTTGAAAAATACTGATGGAATCAGAGGCTGTAGGGTGTTTTTTTTCCTAAACCTATATTAACATATTAAAGCAGGATAGAGATGTGGGAGTGATTTAGGAATTGTGTTGGGGTTTTTTCTGTGTGGAAGAATTGTCCACTAAATATTTAAGAAAAGCACTACTCCTTTCGTCAGTGCAGAACATATTATACTTATTCTTTCCTTCCTGGTGAGGTACTATGGTACATTCTTTTTTTTTTTTCTGATTCATCACACTTTCAATACTGTAGCAGCAGTGATACAGTTAAGGTAAAATGAAGTTATATTCTAGTTAATACTCATGGGTTTTTATCACAGTTGGCACATGATAAAATAAATGTTTTCAATGCTGTTGCAGCAGAAAAAAACACTCTCATAATGCATATAACAGTCTAAGAGTTGGGAATAAACAGTTTTTACTCTGAATTTCAATTTCTTCCAGATTTTGGAGCCTTTACCATCACCCCTTTTTGTGACAGAGGTTGGTTGCTCCCTCTTGTTTTTGGTTTGGTTTTTCTATCACCCTCTGGTCTTTGCTACTTCTTTTTTGCCTCCTCTTTTAAATCTGCTGCTCCTACAAAGATTTATCCTCCTTTTTTTGAAACTCTATGATCTTTTGCTTTCAGAAACATATTTTTTCTGCTCTTCTCTGTATCTGTTCATCTGATTCCTCTTGGGCAGATCATCCTATCTATTTTCCGCTTTTTTCTCCACTACTTCCTCATGGAAGATTCATTGACAGCTCAGACTCAAAAGGGGTGTATGTAGAACTAAATGTTATCTTTTCTCCTAAACATTTCCACCATCCTACTTGCCATCCAAGCTCATATAGCAGTGCTTAGCCAATCTTCCTCCACAATTTATGGAAGCCTGTCCCTTTCTCTCTATACAGACTAATGTCACTTTTCATAAGTTTTTTGAATTTTTACCACTTCTTGTGCATCCTCCTTAGCATCCATATTGCCAGTCCATCCAAAACACAGCTGGTAACACTGCTGCTCTCATCGATCAAACCATATTTACACCTTTTAAGCTCATCTTTATCTTCAAGATGTTCCACACTATTCTGTCCCAGCCTACAAATCAGATCAAGTCTTTCCTCATCCCAGCCATTCTGCTCTGTCAATATATTAAGACTACATATTCTTAATAATTCCATTACATCCCTCAAGCCTGTCATGATTTCACTGTTCTGTAAATCATCAGTCCTTTTTGTTCTTTGTCTACATACACTCTTTTTCCACAGTACACAAAAAAAAGATAAATTCATAGACATTCAGAGAAAGAAAAAATGAAAGCAAATCACTGGTTCTGAGCATGTCCCACTTTAATGTACTTTGTGTCTTTCTCATATCTTTGGGGCAAGGTTTTACTATTTTTATCTTGTATAGCTCACTAGTCTATTGTTAGCCCTAAGATAATTTATCAATCATCTTGAGGACTGTTGCATGATTGTAAATGGTTTTAAATAAAAATTAACTGGCTGAAGCTTTGTTTTCACAAGCCTTCAAGTGTGAAAGATATACATAGATACCAGAGATTGGAGTATTTTTCTTTGGTCATTATATCCTTTAGTGCTATTCTTCTTGATGGGATATTCTTGGTCAAGTCACATTTTCAGTGGTCTGAGTAACGGATCTACTGCTACATCCCTTTGGATGTTTCCCTATTACACAGTCTAATAGATCACATTTTTAAAGGAGTTGGTAGGGATGTAAAGTGTTCTTTGGAAGTGCTAAGGATTTTCACTACAGTATAATTGACAAGTCCATCTCTCTGAATATATTAAATTTTCTGCTTTTAAAAGTGTCTTTGGCCATTCTTCTCTTCAGGTAAGGCAGTGAGCTCATCCTTTTGGAATATTTCAAGTGCTTTTTGTGGTATTTTGAAAACTCTTTTTTGGAATTCAGATTCTCCTGAGAATGAACATTTCCTGCATTGCGGGGATCCAGTGAGGAGTGAAACGCAGGACATCCACACTAGCTTTGAAGCATATTGAAAAAAACTCCTCTTTAGCTCGCTGCAGATTCAGAAGAAAATATAAAATGTTCTGATTAAATGCAGAGCATGCTTTTCCAGACTGACATTAACTTAATACTCTTCTAGAAAACTTAATTGATGCCAATTTGCCAGGAGGTACAATGTCTACAACCTGTTAAAACATGAACTTTTTCTGAGAGAATACGGGAGGAACATAGAGGAAAACTGTTTGCTATGCATGTCTATCCATACCTCAAGAAAGATCTCAAGGGTGACATTTCCAAGAGCATTATGTGATTAGCTATGCCAGAAAGGAATAAAGTAGCTAAGTGACTCCCATTTCAGTTGTGTGCAGTGTAAGAGGGCATCCTCTAAGAAATCTTCTGCCATTCAGGAGCTGAGACAGCACCATGAGAGTGTTTTGCCACACCTGAAACTCCGTAATTTATACATCAGTAGCTCAGAGGTTGCAGTAGCAGTTGCAACCAGATTTTGTTAGTGATGAGAGCTGAAATGAGGACATCTGGCCTCAGAGTGGTTATTATATCACTTGTGATGGAGGTTTCCATTTTCATCTTGTTGTAAACAATAGCGTATAACACTGTGAGTAACTTTAGGGACAAAGGACTGCAATCAGGTATTAGGTGTTGAAATTCCTTACACTGTTATAGCAGTGTGCAAGTTTTGGGTATACCAATTGCCCTAATGGTAGAAGGAGTAGGTAGGGATATTTAAACTCTGCTTAGTACTCTGAAAATTTATGGACAATTATACCAAGCCATGCATTATTGGAATAAGATTTTTATTGTGAATAGAAGTGAGTAAACAGTATATATGACAACTCCAAAATATATAGGTTATTAAACAGTTGGTTTGGCTTCATTTTGGCATACTTAGTGTAATGTATCATTGTTTCATTCTTAATTTGAGAAGAGCTTACAGGAATAATGTTTTGATATTGTCTTGAGATGCTTACAGTCTAGGCAGACAACATGGAGATCAAGTAAAACTGCATTTGAATAATGAACAGATGTGTATTGAAGGCAGAGGAAAGTTTCCCATTAATTGCACCCACTTCGTATGTGGCCCAAAGTAACCCAGAAAGGGCTGCATTAAGGACATGATCTTTTTTAATGTGTGTGTTTGGCCCTGAAAACATGCAGATGAGCAATTAAGGCCTTCTGGAAGGCACCTGTCCATGAATGTTTTCAGGACCGAAGTTTTAGAGTATAGGTGGTGATACTTATCTTGCTGGAGATTTGTGAACAGTAGTGAATTTCATATAAAAAAAAATTTCTTGCATCTGTTTTCCAGATGGTGGAAGAAGATGATGTTTCTTGTGTATTATTTAGGTATCCCTTATCACCATGTTGGACACGGGAAAGATTAAGCGATAAAAAGATTCAGAGAATGTTTATTCAAATTATTCGTACAGTTTCTTAAACAATGAATCCTAAATGTGCTCATGCTGTTCTTTCTCTTAACTTGAATGTCTTATGGCTTCTGTTGTATTTCATTCTTTTAGGCCTTTCTCTGAGATCTGCCTGTTGCACAGCCATACGTATTAGATGACTTTGGGACTTGCTTTGCATCAATGATGAAGGGATTATCTAGCAGCCGTAGTCATCATCACGGGGTTGCCTGTGACTCTCCATGTGACAGTCTGCCACACCACCCAGACAGGAAGCCATATTTGTTAAACCCAGTGGACCCCCATCCTGCAGATCACCCTTACTACACTCAAAGGAACTCTTTTCAGGCAGAGTGCATGGTGCCCTACAGTGATCAGATTGCCAGCAGCACGTTTCCCCGGAGGCATTACAATTCCCACCATGAACTCAAGGATGAGTGTGCTCTAGTTCCCCATGGAACTGCCAGTAAGACCAACCGCCTTTCCGCCACCTGCCTCTGAATCGGGATGGCTACCACACTCTGCAGTACAAGCGGACTGCCATGGAGCACCGCAGTGACAGCCCAGGGAGGATCCGACATCTGGTTCATTCTGTCCAAAAGCTCTTTACCAAGTCCCATTCCCTGGAGGGACCATCCAAGGGGAGCGTCAATGGGGGCAAAGCGAGCCCGGAGGAGTCACAGACGATGAGGTATGGGAAGCGCAGCAAGAGTAAAGAAAGGCGATCAGAAGGTAAGCCCAGATCCAACACATCAGGATGGTGGAGTTCAGATGACAACTTGGACAATGATGTTTGCATTTATCATGGTCCCAGTGGGGTCATGACCATGGGAAGATGCCCTGATCGTTCTTCTTCTCAGTACTTTATGGAAGCCTATAACACTATTAGTGAACATACTGTGAAGTCATCCAGAAGCAATAATGATGTCAAATGCTCTACCTGTGCAAACCTGCCTGTGAATTTAGACTCCCAGCTAATGAAGAAAAGCTCTTGGTCCTCTACGTTAACCGTGAGCAGAGCCCGCGAAGTTTACCAAAAAGCATCAGTTAACATGGACCAGACAGTGGTGAAGGCAGAGACGTGTCAACAGGAACGGTCATGTCAGTACCTCCAGGTACAGTTTGGAGAACTGATTGTCGTTAACTGTGCCCTGCCTTGTCTCAGGTGTTTGTGGGGGATGAAGGTTTGCTCTGGTATTTCAACTTTCCCAAGAGGTCACTGATCACCAAACAAGGGGTAATGCTGCTGAAGTTAAAAATAAATCTGCTTTTTCTGTTTTCCGCCCTGCCCCAGCATTCAGTATTTCAAAGAAACAGTTCATGTTGGAACAGGCTTAATTTTTTCATGTTGGAAAAATAAGACCTTTCTGTGTACTTTTTGAATTTATAAGGCAGTCACAGTAGGAGTATAGGGAATTTGATGTTGCAGTGCTTGCATTTAGCATTACAATGTCAATTAACTGAATGTTACCAGGATACAAATTCTTTGATTTCTGTAATTTCAAGATTTTCCCTCATTTACTGCTTATTTTATTATGAAAGCTTTTGAGACCCTTTCGAGAAACTTTGGGGTACCTTTAAGACTTTCTCCAGCAGGAAAACAACCTACTTTCGTTTTTGCCATAGAATATAATTTCTCATAACATAGTTATTGTAACGTGTCCAGATTTGTTTATCTGGCTATTCCTCGTTCTCATGGCTTTGAGTCAAAAATAAAAAATCAAAAGGTTGAAAGTATTGCTTGTTCTGATTATACATTTTAGAACTACATCACCTACTCCCTCACAAGCTGTTTGCAGTTAATACAGCGTCACTATTTTTCACCAGTATTGTATCTTTAAATGTCAAGAATCAGATGCCTGCTCTTGGAGCTATCATACTGCCAGTGAATGTTTGTGGCAGGAACATGGATCAGAAAATATTAAAACTGTTTCATTCTTAGGAGAGCTGTGGATAGCTTTTATGCACTTTAAACGAAGCACTTATGGCACATCTAAGTGTGTGTGTAAGATGGAACAACGTTGCGCAGAGAAGAGAGAAGACCATGAGGAAAAAAGAGGTTTGCTAAGACAATTTGGTTTCATTTTAATGTAGTGGGACTCTTGCCTATTTGTATAGAACCTATAGCGAGTTTTCTCATATGGGTGCTTTAATGAGACAGTCAGCTTCCAGATTCTGTTGTTTAAGTTATACGCAGAGAAAGCGTAGGACTGAGGCATCTGCATTTAAAAATTGATCTTAAAAGGTTTTATAGAATGCCATGCAGAATAATTTTGAATGCCAGCCTCTGGGATTCTGAGTTTTAAATGTAAAGAAATGGATCTGTATATTTTCTATTAATTGTTAGGAGAGCGGGGTGGGGGAGAAGGGGCAATATGAATGCTCAGTGCGTGTTTACATCTGTGTCTATGGACTGGGGAGAGACAGAGGTTTCAAAATAGCCTCAGGTTGCAACCTTTTGAGTTTTGTTTTTTTTTATTAAGTCTCTTTTGTCTGAATTTTGTGAGTGATAAGAAATTGTAACTTTAGGCTTGATTGTTGCGGTTACTTTGGACCCTGAGGTTTCTTTTGTTGATGTTCTTCTTTGCTCCTTGAATCTTCCTCACAGATTTAGATAAAATAGCTGACAACTCAGTATGTGACCAGATGGCTAGAAAAGAGTGAAAAACTGTGCCAGCATCAGATTTAAATGAACACCTCCATAGGGACTTTCAGATAATGTTTAACTGACAGGAATAGACTCTTGAAGTGGAATTAGAGGACATTATCTGTGTCTGTATGAAAATATGTCCAACAATTGTCAAGGGCAGGAATCAGAATAACTTTTAAATTATCACTTAGAATAACTGCATTCTCACTGTGTTTCCCATCATCTCTAGTAGTCTTATTTTGGTTTTCATTTCATCTCATTTCATTTCATTTCATTTTTTTGAATTGTATACTTGTTTGTAAAATCCAGAGAAATATAACTGGTTTGAAATTGTTTTTAAAGAAAAGGAATATCTTAACCAGGCTTTGATTAGTGTTGGAAATAATATTCAAATAGAAGAGGGTAGATTTAAGGAAGCAGGTCAGGATTCTTCTCTCTTGGTAGCTTATAAAGGATGACAAATGGATATAGATATTAAAAAGTCAGTCTTTATTTTGAATGCATCCCATTGCCTTTCTCTTCACTGTATCACTTATCTTTTTACACTACAAACCCTTTGGGGTTTGGACTCTGTTCCCTTTTGTGTTTCCAGTGCCCAGCACAATGGGGCGCAGAACCTAATTGAGGCCTTTTGGCTGTCCTGCAATATAAAAATATATTAGCAGCAGCAGAATATTCCTCTGTTAGTGGGCTGTAGAGGTATTCTATGTATCTGTTATTTTCATGGTGACCTTGTCATCCCTTGTACCAAAGGGATGGTGTCCTATGTTAGAACAACTAGAAATGAACTAAATTACATGAAAGCTGCAAATTCATGACAGTACTGGACAACTCTGATAATTTGATTTCATTATTATGATACTTCTTTGTTGCTTTATTTAACTCATTAAATGTTAAAGGGATGCTTTTATCAACTCACTTATAATTTAAGCAGTTGTTTATGGTCCAGGACATATACTCTCTGATCCTTGAGAGAGGCGACTCATTTGTTCATGCAAACTCTTCTTGTGATAGTATCTGAATACAATGAAGCAGTGACTTTTTTTCAACTCAGCCTACCCAGGATAATTTTCTTTATCCTGATAGATCTGAGTGTATCAGAGATCACAGATGACATTGACTTCAGATTTGCTTGTAAGGGCTTTTATCACAAAAGTATCTGGATGAATTCTCAGTGTAAGGACATGGAAATAACAAACAATTATCTCACTTGGTGTGATATTTTCCACTTCTGTGGAAGGAGTTGGCAGTAGTTCGTGTTACAGATGGGTTTATTTCTCATAATTTGGAATTTGGATCGAGTGTAGAGTCCTCCTGCACTGCACAGTCTTTCTTTATCCCACCAGGATCTGCTTCCAGCCCTGGTGCTGAGGCTCGGTGTCTGTCCTTGGAGGTCTAGGGGAGCCTTGGCTCACTGCTGTCCATCTTCAGAAAGAGATACTAGCTCCTGGAGTAGTCTAAAGACTGTCAAGCAAACCTTTTCCTCTGACCTGCATCTCAGGAATGGAATTGTATTTTTCTCTTTATTTTTCCTTTCAAGAATGAGAAGCCGGATAGTAGAAAGATAAGGTCCTTTTTTTTGAGCTGCTGTTTACTTCAGGAAAGTGCTTTTATTTGATCCAGGTTTACAGCTGGACTAATTCGAAGGAAGGTGAGAAGGAACTGTTCATGTTTTCTCAAAATTCTTTTTCAAAATGGTTTCCCTCCCTTGAGAGAATAATTTATAAAGCAGTGGACAGCCTCCACTTCTCTGGTAGCTTCTTCTCTGGAAAAATTAAAATTAAGCAAAACTATCAAAGATTAAATGTAAGCAGCAGTCTTCTTCTGCAAACAATAGGGTCTAAATACATGGGTAGATATTTTTGACACTCTTGTTTTCTATGAATTCATGATTGTTGAAGCTAATAGTGTATCAAATACACTGCAGAGTTTGTCTCTAATTATAGTTTTGCTGTTCAATATTCCCTGTAATTACTATTCCCATTGTCCTTGGTCCATTTGTTAAGAGAGAGAGAAAAATACAAAGGATGGCTTTTTTTTTTATTACTCCTCTTTTCTTCTTATGTGGGTCGGTCATATGTTTTCTTTTGACCCCAGTTGATGAGACTGAAGTCAGTCCTGACAGATACTTGGGGCTGAGGCTGGAAATTTTACTTCTGAAAACCAAAGTGCAGTAGGTCAGGGTCAACAGTGGAGTCTTCCAAACTCCAGACTTGCATCACCTGTCCTTTGACGGGAGACTGTGGGAAGTACTATAAAAAATATAAGGCAAGTTTCTAGGAGTCATAAGCATTTTCTGGTGGCAAAAGGCTCTGGTTCACACTGTGATCAGTTTCCTGTGTGAAGGGTGTCTCTAATGTGTATTTTTATATAACGTGTAGTGATAAGAAACTCACGTCGTTAGATTGACTTTCTTTCCAACCTCAGGACAAATCACTTTCACAGTTTCTTAGGAGATACTGCTCTGTCCCAGACTTTTTCTGTTGCCTGTGTCCATGAATGGCCAAATAGAGAGCATCACCCTAGGTCAGGGTGCTAATAAGGACCAGTATCTGACATATGATTTGTTAATGTCAAATTACAAAGTATTTATCCTTATGACACAGCAATTTATGCTAGGTTTGTTATACTGGGCTTATCTATGCAAGTCTATCTGCATTTTCAGTTATTGTCTTCTTTTTCCTCATTCGTGGTATTTGCATTTCTGTTGCAACTACCATATTCAAATTAATCTTTCAGTATGTTCTTGTATATATATGTAAGTTATATTTTAATATCCATTAATATTGATCTTCCATTTTTCATATGCCTGAAGACCTGCATTTTTCTCTCTTATTCCATTATAAATTGAGAATTAACGAAGCCTATACAGTTTCCACTTCAATTTTCCAGTGAGAACTAACCAGAAATACGAGGTATACGTTTCAAATCTTTTTTCTGAGCTCATATGAAACATACTTCTTGGTAAAGCTAGTGAAACAATTTGAACAATTGTGAAATAAAATGTCAAATGTGATCATGTATTCTAGGCCAGCTTCCATGTAAAGAAATTATCATAAAAACATTTGGAAGTTCTTAAATGTTCATAAATTTTAAAATAAACTGGTATCTAAGAACATGAAAACTGAAAAAATATCATTCACAGAAAGCTAATTTGTTTCAGCTTTTAAATTGCTGTAAGCTGGGGAATATGAATAAAGAATAAAGATAGGGAATTTGTGGGCACTTGGAAAACATAAATAAAGAAAAAAAATAGCTTATTTACAAAAAATGTAGTAATAACAAATAATTCAGTTGAACCTACATCTCGGTTATTTAGCCTCCCTGCAAAACCTGCCCAAGAGGTCTTTGCTATATTAAGGTAAATATGTAGGACAGTATTTCAGTACAGCCATCCTCCTCATCTTTGAAGCCCTTTAATTTACCTTAAAAAAAAGAAATTGTCAGCTGAGTTGGTGAAAATGA